AAACCAACATTGAAAGGGACACCTCAGGATAGTGAAAAAAACTCACTGACTATTGAACTATAAAAAAGCATTTTTCTTCATTTAAAGGTTTTTTTTACCATTTCTTCTTGTTTTTTAGGCACACCTGCCCTTAATTTTGCAAATGTTATAAAAACAGTTATAGACCTCGTGTTTAATAGTAAGTATGAATATTTGAATATTTGTTTACAGTATTCATATCACTGCGTCACACTCTGATAATGACACCAGTGCTGTGTGTATTGATCTCTGGGATATAAATAGCTTGACCTGTGGGTATACACAGCTTATATTCCCGGGTATATAGAGTTTATATTTCCCTCCCTACCATGGTACAGGCTTGGCTGTGTGGTTACTTCGATGAATACATCCCGGCCCTTTGGCTAGAATCTGTTTCTACCCCACTGCTGCTGTTTCCCTGGAGACATGGTAGTGAGACCACAGGCGCTGTCCTGTCACCTGTTTTAGGGTGTCGTCATGGTTATTGTTATGTGGTTATCACAAAGAATACTTGATTTGAACTACAAAAGACTTGCGGCCTCAGAAGAAACAAGTTCAAACCTCAAATTTGACAATTATTTTTTTTCAATTTATTTTGAGGGAAAATGTATTTTTGTTTAATTATTCTAAGCAAAATTCATTCGAGCTAGAGTGCAAAGCAGGACAAGCTTGGCTTTGTCACATTCATGACATCTTCATAAGCTTATTTTTACATAAAACCGCTACTGCGAAAGAAATATTATCACTATAAAAAAAATTAAAAAATCTGATTGTAAAACATAAAATATAATTGTAAATTAATAATTATTTTAATGAAATTGAAAATCAAAATTTTTTTTATGAAATTGTAAATCTAATACTTTTGCATGAAAATTTCAATTCAAGATGTAATTCATGAAATTTTGAATTTATCAATCTTTAAAATAAATGAAACGAAATATAAAATTAAATAATCTTCACCCAAATGGGATTTGAACTCGCAATCACCAGGTCATGAAGTGATCTTATCACATGTTCATGTGTCCAGACACCCCACAAGCCCCGTCAGCTGGACACACAACAACCATGGCATTTTCCAACCCTGGGGAAAAAGTGGGCAGGATGGCATCCATGGCCTCTGAGTCAACCGACTCGACCGAAGGTCTTTCTTTGGTAAAGGAAACGAAGTAACCATTAGACTGTCGCCTACCCAGGATAAGAACAGGACATGATTACAGGTGTATGTTGTGTGCAGTCGGCTGGACTTTGTACTGCTGTAATACATCTACAAGCCCAAAGTAATGCAGGCCTCAGATGAAACCCACGAGCATGTGTATGGTGCTGACAAATCTAAAACATAATTGGGGAGAACTGGGATTCGAACTCACGGTCATAGGTTTCTGGCGTGCCATGGGATGCAACTCTGCACAGCGAGTTTGTCTGGACACCCTGTTAATGGGGACAATCTGTTTGTCTGGGTGCCCGGTTTCTCAGGACAACCTGTAAAACTGGACACTCTGTTAATCTGGACACCCTGTTAATCTGGACAATCTGTTTGTCTGGATGCCCGGTTTCTCAGGACAACCTGTAAGACTGGACACTCTGTTAATCTGGACAACCTGTTAATCTGGACAACATGTTTGTCGGACACCCTGTTAATCTGGGCAACATGTTTGTCTGGACACCCTGTTAATCTGGACAACCTGTTAGACTGGAAACCTTGTTTGTCTGGACACCCTGTCAATCTTGAAACCCTGTCAATCTGGACACCTTGTCAGACTGGACACCTTGTTAGTCTAATAACCCACAATAATTTTCACAACAATTTCCCTCTCAAAAAGTCCCTCACCACAATGTCACAATATATTAGTATGGTATTTCCTGCCATCAGCAATTCCGCAGATATTCGTCACAACATCTAAACAGTACATCAGTGAAGCACAAAATCATGAATATTGATATACTTTAACTATCATAGGCAATTCAGCAACTATTCACGGCAACAGCCACCAGGGTGACACTAAACCCTGAAACAGCACTATGACTACCACCTATATATAGCACAGCTCACTATATAACAGCCTTGTATTGAGCACTCTGCAGTATTGAGCACCAAAAATACTACACCCATCCCAAAAAATCTACCCACTCTTGGCATTCATTCCAAATCTCAAAATTTCAAAATTACTATATAAGCAACCCCTAAACCCCCCCTCCTGGGTTCCACAAACGCACTTTTCCCCTTTTTCGGAAACACATTAAATGGCCTGGCTGGGCCCGTGTGCGACATACGCTTGCAGTCGGAAAGCGCACGTTAAATCTCCAATATAAGTCAGTACGGAAACTCTGCAGCGAGGTAGGCCAGCGAGGTAGGTAGGTGTGGGTACTTCGTTCACTTCACCGGGAACCCTTCACAGACACTGACATGTGTTTTCTCATGGACATGTGTTTCCTCATGGAAACACGAGACCCACTGACGCTGACATGTTTCCTCATGGAAACACGAGACCCACTGATGCTGACATGTGTTTCCTCATGGAAACACGAGACCCACTGACGCTGTCCTGTCTTTAGGCATCTTGAATGTTGACACCAAGGCTAAAAATGACTGTTTCTGTCAACTGTCTTCAATTTTTAGTCTTTCTGTCACTACCACTGTTCTACCATGAAGTTCTAGGTTCAAATCCTGCATTTTTGGAGGACAATTTTTTCCCTCAAAATTAGGATATTTATTCATTTGGCTGAAAATCATATTATGTCATCACGTGAATGAGCGTATATTTTTAACGACCTTTAAAATGTTTTAAAGATGCTTCGCTAAGAGATCAATGGCTCCAACAGTACTACATCTTAGGAGATTCACATTACCTCCAGCCATGAAGATCCAGGTTAGAATAGGTCTAATCGCTGTATATAATATATATAGCGTTGTATATAATCGCTCCATATAATCGCTGCATATAATCTCTGTATATAATCTCTGAATATAATTGCTGTATATGATTGCTGTATATAATCTCTGAACATAATCGCTGTATATATAGCTACTGTATATAATCTCTGTATATAATCACAGTACATAATCTCTGTATATAATTGCTGTATATAATCTCTGTATATAATCTATGTAAATAACCCCTGTATATAATCACAGTACATAATCTCTGTATATAATCACTGTATATAAACCCCCGTATATAATCTCTGTACATTATCGCTGTAAATATAACTACTTTATATAACTACTGTATATAATCTCTGTATATAATCTCTGTATATAATCACAGTACATAATCAATGTATAACATCGCTGTATACAATTTGTGTATATAATCGCTGTATATAATCACTGTATATAATCTCTGTATATAATCACAGTACATTATCAATGTATAACATCGCTGTATACAATTTGTGTATATAATCGCTGTATATAATCACTGTATATAATCTCTGTATATAATCACAGGACAAAATCTCTGTATATAATTGCTGTATATAATCGCTGTATATAATCACTGTATATAACCCCCGTATATAATCTCTGTACATAATCTCTGTATATAATTGCTGTATATAATCACAGTACATAATCTCTGTATATAATTGCTGTATATAATCACTGTATATAATCTCTCTATATAACCCCTGTATATAATCACAGTACATAAGCTCTGAATATAATTGCTGTATATAATCTCTGTACATAATCTCTGTATATAATCTCTGTATATAATCTCTGTACATTATCTCTGTATATAATTGCTGTATATAATCTCTGTGCATAATCAATGTATAACATCGCTGTATAAAATCACTGTATATAATCTCTGTATATAATCTCTGTATATAATCACAGTACATAATCTCTGTATATAATTGCTGTATATAATCTCTGTACATAATCAATGCATAACATCGCTGTAAACAATCTCTGTACATAATCTCTGTACATAATCTCTGTACATAATCGCTGAAAATAATCAGCTTTGTAGAAGTGGTGCATATATACATGCAGACACTTTCTTTCCAAAGCGAAAACATTTCCACAAACAATTCATCAACAGAAATTGAATGACAACAAATCTGTTCTGAGACACACCATTTAGTCCCATATTAACAGTTAATTTTATTACTAAACAGTGACCAGCTTATCTATATAAACAGTATATTATTTGAATTTATAGTCCATTTCATTTCCAGTCTTATTATTCAACATCTAATAAAATATATATTTCATTTTCGGCAAAAGTGTGTGGGAACTGATTACCTAATCACAACAATTGTGGGACAAGTCATCTATTAGAGGGGGTTTGTGATTGGTGTATATGACAGGGCATATTTCGCTCAACCCCTCCCCCCCATTTTATGTAGGATTCTTCATCCCCCCCCCAAAATACATGTAACATTTTTATGCCCCCCCTCCCTATGAAACATGATCAGTACCTGATCAGTAATGTTCAAATTTCTAACTGTTTTATTAGAGAAATGTGTCATTTTTTCATTCCACCTCAACCCGCCCCCTCCCCTCCCCATCCTTCAATGTGTCATTTTTTCATTACAAAATACAACATATATGTGCACTATGTATAATAACATACCTGAACAAAAAATATTGAAAAAATATAACATAAATTTAGGCATACAAAATATAAGACAAAATGCATGAGATTTCCCAAGTATGGATCAACTATCAAAGCATGTTATGAAATCCACACACCAGTACACTGATGGTGCTGATATGCATATGTCAATGTAAAGCCAGGACCAGCGGATACTGGCACAGCTAAGGGGCATTACTCTGCACATCACTGTCCTTGAGTCAGCACCTTAAGACTGGTACAACAATGGATGACAGAGATCCATTATAGTAAAAGAAAAGACAAACCCCATCTTTTGTACCTTGGAGATCTTAGATTTAGTCCAAAACTGAGAATACTCAATATTGGTACTGCAGGAATTTACGTCTGGTACATTCTCAATCCATGACAAGAGTTACCTACCTTGACATCCTCCAGGTGGACCTCAGGGTCTTTTGTGTGCCAGTCCAATATGGCCGTCTCCTTGGAGTTCAGCAGAATCTGAAACAGGATTCATCCTGGCTTAGCTGACCAAAGTTTTACGTTTTTAAGGCTTTCTTGGGATATTTTTAAGGTTTTCAGAAACATTGGCAAGGCCATCAGCAGACATTCTCAAAGCCATCAGCAGACATTCTCAAAGCCATCAGCAGACATTATCAAAGCCATCAGCAGACATTCTCAAAGCCATCAGCAGACATTCTCAAAGCCATCAGCAGACATTCTCAAAGCCATCAGCAGACATTCTCAAAGCCATCAGCAGACATTATCAAAGCCATCAGCAGACATTCTCAAAGCCATCAGCAGACATTCTCAAAGCCATCAGCAGACATTATCAAAGCCATCAGCAGACATTCTCAAAGCCATCAGCAGACATTCTCAAAGCCATCAGCAGACATTCTCAAAGCCATCAGCAGACATTCTCAAGGCCATCAGCAGCAATTCTCAAAGCCATCAGCAGACATTCTCAAGGCCATCAGCAGATATTTTCAAGGCCATCAGCTGACATTATCAAAGCCATCAGCAGACATTCTCAAAGCCATCAGCAGACATTCCTCAAGTCATCAGCAGACATTCTCAAAGCCATCAGCAGACATTCCTCAAGTCATCAGCAGACATTATCAAAGCCATCAGCAGACATTCTCAAAGCCATCAGCAGACATTCCTCAAGTCATCAGCAGACATTCTCAAAGCCATCAGCAGACATTCTCAAAGCCATCAGCAGACATTCTCAAGGCCATTAGCAGACATTATCAAAGCCACCAGCAGACATTCTCAAAGCCATCAGCAGACATTATCAAAGCCATCAGCAGACATTCTCAAGGCCATCAGCAGACATTATCAAAGCCATCAGCAGACATTCTCAAAGCCATCAGCAGACATTCTCAAAGCCATCAGCAGACATTCTCAAAGCCATCAGCAGACATTCTCAAGGCCATCAGCAGCAATTCTCAAAGCCATCAGCAGACATTCTCAAGGCCATCAGCAGATATTTTCAAGGCCATCAGCTGACATTATCAAAGCCATCAGCAGACATTCTCAAAGCCATCAGCAGACATTCCTCAAGTCATCAGCAGACATTCTCAAAGCCATCAGCAGACATTCCTCAAGTCATCAGCAGACATTATCAAAGCCATCAGCAGACATTCTCAAAGCCATCAGCAGACATTCCTCAAGTCATCAGCAGACATTCTCAAAGCCATCAGCAGACATTCTCAAAGCCATCAGCAGACATTCTCAAGGCCATTAGCAGACATTATCAAAGCCACCAGCAGACATTCTCAAAGCCATCAGCAGACATTATCAAAGCCATCAGCAGACATTCCCAAGTGTGTGTGGGTGTGTGTGCATGCACATGTGTTTGGGTGTGTTAAAACGTGTGTACATACATGTGTGTGTGAAAATGTGTGTGCATGCATGTGTATGTGAGTGTGTGTGTGAAAATGAGTGTGCATGCATGTGTGTGTGTGAAAATGTGTGTGCATGCATGTATGTGTGTGTGCAAAAATGTGTGTGTATGCATGTGTGTGTGTGGAAATGTGTGTGCATGCATGTGTGTGTGTGAAAACGTGTGTGCATGCATGTGTGTGTGAGTGAAAATGTGTGTGCATGTATGTGTGTGTGTAAAAAACATGTGTGCATGCATGTGTGTGAGTGTGTGTGAAAATGTGTGTGCATGCATGTGTGTGAGCATGCGTGTGTGAGAGTGAAAACGTGTGTGCATGTATGTGTGTGTGTGTGAAAATGTGTGTGCATGCATGTGTGTGAGAGAGTGTGTGAAAATGTGTGTGCCTGCATGTATGTGTGAGTGTGTGTGAAAACGTGTGTGCATGCATGTGTGTGTGAGTGTGTGTGTGTGAAAACGTGTGTGCATGCAGGCATGTGTTTGAGTGTGTGTGCATGCATGTGTGTGTGAGTGTGAGTGCGTGTGTGCATGCATACGTGTGTGAGTGTGTGTGTAAAAACGTGTGCATGCATGTGTGTGTGCAGGCAATTGTGCGTGTGTGTGATGTACTAGGCCAGGACTTCTGCCGGTGTTACAGTGCTAGCAATGTACACAACACCCACCTGTGCCCTGTCCGTGACGTGGCCAGGCAGTTTGAGCAGTGTGCCTGGCTGGTGGAGGGTTTTCCTGTAGACAATGTAGCCATAGCTCTGTCCCACCCCACTGATCAGCTTGATGCTCTCCATGTGATCTGGTCGCTTCACTTCCAGCGATGACTGTCGGGGAAACACAAGCGTTAGTAACCTACACAATGAGGGGCCAACCACTGAACATTCTTTGTAGTGAGGGGTTGGGTCTTGAGGGATTTTTAAAAAAAAGAAGGTTTCTAAGAAATAAAAGGCGCTGACTGAAATAAATATCTCTGTCTTAAATTTGTTGGATGTTTTTTTGTTTTTTTAACACTGCACAGCTATATGACATCGGTCAGTAAGTGAGTGAGTTGGGTTTAACGCCGCTTTTAACATTATTCCAGTTATATCACTGCGTGTCAGCTTAGTGTGGGAGGAAAGCCCGAAGTGATGCAGGTCTCAGACGTTTACCACTTCTGTGAAACCCACGAGCACGGGTATGGTGCTGAAAAAACTAGAACCATAATTGGGGCGATCTGGGATTCGAACCCACAATCATAGGTTTCTGGCGTGCCCAAGGGACACAACTCTGCACATCGAATTGCAGCGCCTTAGACCAGTGGGCCCCGGAGAGGAGACAGAGAGAGATTGATTTCATTGATGCTGCATAGTAATTCATGCAGCTATTCACAGTGATTCATTGAATGGCTCTTCTAACATTGTGCCATACGAATGAGGTTCCAAATGAAGCTATGGTAGTGTTAATAATGATAGAATGGAGTTATTGAACACTGTATAATGCAGGATGATACTGTAGGGCCTCCCACACTGAATTGTTTGTTGTTTAATGCTGCACTCAGATATTCCTGCAAGATGACCGTGGTGTGTAAATAATTGAGTCAGGTCCAGACAATCCAGTGATTGACACCATGAACAACACCCCACACTAGGGCTGGGACAGGTCACTCGAGTACCCGGGTCGGGTGGGTCCTGAGTAGGACCTGGGTACCCACAGGACTACCCGGACCCGTGATTAGTCACGTGATATATATTGTTTAATGACAAATACTATATAAAACTCTATGGTCGCTATAAGTCACTAATGTTCCCATTTCTTTCTGACAATGCACCCATCCCTTCAGACTTTTATATGTTTGAATAAAGATAAACCTTCATGCATTAAACTCCAGTGTATGCATGAGCGGGTTGTTTTACACGTTTTATCTAAGTACATTTTGCCAGGGCTACGGTAAAACTTTTCCAAATCGGACAGTTTGAATACCTACAGCGGGTACCCGGGTGGGGTCGGGTAATAGGGTGGTGGGTACCCGGGTAGTAAATTTTGACCCGTCCCAGCCCTACCCCACACTGTCGGGGTACAAATGCCCCAAAAGGGGAGATAATCTGAGCTCTCACAGTTATCTCCACAAAATATGAACGGCAAATCAATGACCACCTACATCCAGTAATCATAATCGACAACCTGCCCCAGTTGCCATAGTTACACGTACCTCCATTAGACTCATCATCGTATGCCAGGGGAGATAACTGTCTATTGCCAGGTGGCCTGCAAATACAACATTAACAAAGATTACAATAACATTGAACACAGGGCTCATTAAATCTAGCATATTTACAAGGAAACATACAAAATTATTTCAACGTAATTTAAAAAACTAAACTGAACCTAAATAAAGTGAAGGTTAAGAAAAATATTTCTTTCTTTATTACTATGTCAAAAATAAAAAACTGGTCTGGTAATTAATTGGTCCATCAATCAGATGAATATGCTACTGACAAAATTAGTTCAACATGTCTAGGACGAGGGGTGGCGGAAAAGCTCTGAGCCAATCTACGAACAATGTACACCCATAACAGATTGCATGTACAGTAGAACATGGATATAACGAACTGGAAGGGACCAGAGAAATCAGTTCGTTACATACGTTGTTTGTTATATACGTTTTTGCTCGGAAATGTCCGCCATCTTGGATAAAACAAAACACAATACACGCAATTGCAGCATTGTCTACCATGAGAGCATGTGCAAATGAAGTGATACTCCGACACAATCCCGTGAAATTTATGTTCGTCTTACAGACTCAATTAGTCCAGTGACAAGTAAGATTAACATAAAGCAAGTTTAACAAGGTTGATTCACCGCTGTTTACGTACAGCCAATCGTCAGTGACACTCGACACTGAGATAGATTTCTCAGTTCGCTATACACGTGACTATAATCAGTGGTATTTGGACTTGTCGAGGATCAAATATCTGTTCGCTATATACGTTAGTTCGCTGTAGAGAGTTTGTTATGTACATATATTTTATATGATAATATAGAGGAGATGAAACGGGATTTTGTAACAGTTCATTGTATCAGATTGTTCACTCTATCCGTGTTCGTTATATCCGTGTTCTACTGTATTAAGTACAATACTTTCCATGACAGGCTGCAGTTGAACCAAATACACAACCAGGCTGCATATTTCTGCACACATCAAAGTGACTAGGTGTTCTCTGTTGATGAAAAACTTGACTGCCATGTTTCAAGTAGAATCTTCAACTTCAAGGGCTGACTCCAACAGTCATGCATGCAGACATGGTGTCAACTTTAGGGCATGATGCTCCCTCCATTGCCAGTGTTCAGAGGTGGGCGGCAGAGTTCATGGGGGGAAGAGGGAGCTCGAAGATGATCCACGATGAGAAACACCTTCAAGATGAGAAACACCTTCAAGATGAGAAACACCTTCAAGATGAGAAACACCTTCAAGATGAGAAGCACCTTCAAGATCAGAAACACCTTCAAGATCAGAAACACCTTCAAGATCAGAAACACCTTCAAGAAGAGAAGCACCTTCAAGATCAGAAACACGTTCAAGATCAGAAACACCTTCAAGATCAGAAACACTTTCAAGATCAGAAACACCTTCACGTGCCACTACATGATATGAGTGTGGATGATGGACGACTCACAACACATCACATAGGCAACAGTCATCCATGTGGACATGGTGTTAAATTTAGGGGACGATGCTCCCTACTTCGCCACTGTTCAGAGCTGGGCAGTGGACTTCAAGAGAGAGACCACGAGGACCTTTAACTGCCACCACTAAGGAACATGTGGATCATTATGGATGATTGATGATCCCACCACACGTCACACAGCCAATACAGCAGGCATCTCATGAGAGAGTTGAGAACATTCTAAAGAAGGAACGAGGCCTGAAAATGGTTTCAGAACTCTGTTTCCAAGGCTTCTGCCTCCCGATCAGTAAGACTCCGGTTTCATAATCTCGTGTGAGAATTGAGCATGATATTGGCCATTAATGGTCTGACATTTCCACCAGTTGATTTCCTTGGAATCCCAGAACACTGAAGCCATCACCTTGCCAACTGAAGCCATCACCTTGCCAGCTGATGGAACAGGCTCAATCTGATATAAATCAGATCTTAGTTCTTGCTACCAATAAACAAAGATCTGAGGACAAATGTCATGAAAGGTGTGTTGTCAATCACATTAGTGTCAAAAGGGACAGAGAATTCAATGAAATAAATGATTTCAGTTGATTTATCAAAAAGACAAAGATCAGGTTTGTTGGCCTGGATACATCTGAGGCTGTATACAGGCCTAGTCCAAAGAATTTTATATGTATCATTTTCCATAATGCCCACTACATATCCTGGATCGTAGCATGGATGGACCTCTGTGTCAAAACCACAAGCATGGCGAAGATGGTAAAACGATTATCAAGCTCTGAACACTAGATTTTCTTAAGACTACCTTTGTTTTCTGCCCGAAGTTTGTCTTTGGTTCTGGAGTTTGTCTCTAACCTGCATCCCTCCATACATTCCGGTATAGGCTTGACCTTCCACGACCTGGTCAATAACTCATTCCACAAATAAACTGACCGATCCTCTCTCTTCTACCTTGCCACGTTTCAGGTGAAAAGAATGTTGCATTTGTCAAGACCAAGAACATGCCAATACCATTAGAAAAGGACTCGGCAATGAGAATCTGTTTTTTAGTGTGTATCCTCCATTGGTAATAAGTTCAAGGTCATCCATGTAAAGAAGGTGAGTAAGGGGTGATGGGGATCTGTGCTGAAGAGGTCCAGGATGATAACCTTCCTCTTTGATAAGCAAAAAGCTTAAAGGAATTAGTGCCAGACAGAAAAGCAAAGGGCTAAAAGAATCGCCCTGAAATATTCCTCTTCTAGTAGAAATGGGTTCCGAAGTCACCACCTGCCCCTGCGAATACATCTCAAGTTGAGTTGACCAGCAAGTCATTAACCACATGAGGAAAACAAGTAGTCGCTCGGGGAGGTCAATATACAGAATCACAAGCTTTTCTGTAGTCTATCCAACACATTGAGGGGTTGCAGTGGTACGTTTTAGCCTCTTCAAGGATCATTTTCTGAACTAGCATCTGGATCCTTACAACCCCAGCATCCCTTTCTGGCTCCTTTCTGGACCATGTACATAATGTCATTGGAAGCGCAGTACGATGACACAAGATCTGTAAGACACCCTGTAAATAGTTTGTACTGTGTATTCAGACAAGTAATAGCGCAGGAGTTTTGGGGATCAGTCAAATCACCTTTCTTTGGGAGAAGTATTGTTCGACCTTTGCACAACCAAGGTGGAACATCCACGGTATCCACAAGAGAATTTAAACAGTGATGTAATGACGTTTTGACACATGGGAACAGTTTCCAATACCTGTTTCGAATACCAATAGTTCAAGGTCATCCATGTAAAGGAGTTTATGATGTTATGGTATATTCTTCTTCTTCTTCTTCTAGATTATGCTTGTTGTAAAAGGCGACTAACCGGATCGGGTGGTCAGGCTCGCTGACTTGGTTGATACATGTCATCGATCACAATTTCGTAGATCGATGCTCATGATGTCAATCACTGGATTGTCTGGTCCAGACTCGATTATTTTACAGACTGCCGTCATAGAGCTGGAACATTGCTGAGTGCGGCGTTAAACAACAGACAAACAAACAAAACAAAACTTATTATTATTATTATTATTATTATTATTATTATAGTATTAATTTTTCTATTGTCACACCATCATCATGATCCATTGTTGTTGGTCTTTTTGTTTCTCTTCAATCATTACCATGATCTTTCTTCTTCTTCTTATTCTTATCATTATTTCTTTTTTAAATTAACACCAGTGGAAATCAATTTTGCAGCCACAGATTGTATTGTATGTGTCATCCTACACAGATGTTTGGTGATGCAGCTGCCATGATCCTAATGCCTGGCTTATAACTTAATGTCGGACAACTGCTGCACAGCCTAGTAACCCAACAACAGCAGTGAGGATCCTTCACAGGCATGCGAGAAAAACATTGATCATATACCTCTCAATGATATGAGGGATTTTGCATGTGCGATCGAGCCAACGTGGAGACGGTCATATCACAGGGGTGTTATAACCAGACCCATACTTCTACCCCTGCAGGGCTGATATGGCTTGTCAATCCATTTTAATATCAGCCCAGGTCGTATGAAATTAGAGTTACCGTATTCAACGTAATAAGTGCCCAGGGCGCTCTCAAAATTAGAAATAGGGGGCTCTTATTAGAATGTTATTTTGGTGGAAAAAAAAGAGTTGAAAGATAAATTTCGTGGTTTATGCTGACAGCCTGAAATGTTTATGTACGACAGATATATTTTTCCAGAACTAAATGCCCATAATTAAGGGTGCATATAGCACACGAGTGCGTAATTTATGCGAATAAATAAGTCTTGTGTACATTGATCAATCGGAAGGGGTGCTAATTGGGATTGTTCACTAGCCAATATCTTAGCAATGTTGCTGTGGGCGCTTATTAGAGCGGGGCGCTTATTACGTCGAATACGGTATGTCCCTTAGTGCACCGTCTGCTCGCCAAGCTTTCCCCTGACTAAGTCTTCCAAACAAGGTGAAAATGTATTGCATTCACTTTCAAATACATACATTTTACAATGTGATGTTATGGTATATGATAAAAAGGTTAGCATATGTCAATTTTCATATAAGACCCCCACGACCCCGATATCAGCCCTCGGGTTGGTATGGGGTATTGGGTTGATATGGGGTACATTATGCACACTGCCATGCATAGAATGCCCTCTAAGTCCTCTGGGATTTAGGAAGATGTCTTAATGCTTACTTCTATATTATGTCATTGAAAGCAATCTCAAAATACAACATTAAGAAAATAACAACTTTAAAAAAAATTAATTTGGAATTATTTTTTTTATCATATTGCCTGCCATGGGCACTAAGACAACATCTCAGACTTGGTCACTACTCTGGCTTCTATGTCTGCATGCAAGCATGTAGCAGCCCCTAAAGATCACTGTATCTACAGCAACATCTCGGACTTGGTCACTACTCTGGCTTCTATGTCTGCATGCAAGCATGTAGCAGCCCCTAAAGATCACTGTATCTACAGCAACATCTCGGACTTGGTCACTACTCTGGCTTCTATGTCTGCATGCAAGCATGTAGCAGCCCCTAAAGATCACTGTATCGACAGCGACATCTCGGACTTGGTCACTACTCTGGCTTCTATGTCTGCATGCAAGCATGTAGCAGCCCCTAAAGATCACTGTATCTACAGCAACATCTCGGACTTGGTCACTACTCTGGCTTCTATGTCTGCATGCAAGCATGTCGCAGCCCCTAAAGATCACTGTATCGACAGCAACATCTCAGACTTGGTCACTACTCTGGCTTCTATGTCTGCATGCAAGCATGTCGCAGCCCCTAAAGATCACTGTATCGACAGCAACATCTCAGACTTGGTCACTACTCTGGCTTCTATGTCTGCATGCAAGCATGTAGCAGCCCCTAAAGATCACTGTATCGACAGCAACATCTCAGACTTGGTCACTACTCTGGCTTCTATGTCTGCATGCAAGCATGTAGCAGCCCCTAAAGATCACTGTATCGACAGCAACATCTCAGACTTGGTCACTACTCTGGCTTCTATGTCTGCATGCAAGCATGTAGCAGCCCCTAAAGATCACTGTATCGACAGCGACATCTCGGACTTGGTCACTACTCTGGCTTCTATGTCTGCTGCAAGCATGTAGCAGCCCCTAAAGATCACTGTATCGACAGCAACATCTCAGACTTGGTCACTACTCTGGCTTCTATGTCTGCATGCAAGCATGTAGCAGCCCCTAAAGATCACTGTATCGACAGCGACATCTCGGACTTGGTCACTACTCTGGCTTCTATGTCTGCTGCAAGCATGTAGCAGCCCCTAAAGATCACTGTATCGACAGCAACATCTCAGACTTGGTCACTACTCTGGCTTCTATGTCTGCATGCAAGCATGTAGCAGCCCCTAAAGATCACTGTATCGACAGCGACATCTCGGACTTGGTCACTACTCTGGCTTCTATGTCTGCTGCAAGCATGTAGCAGCCCCTAAAGATCACTGTATCGACAGCAACATCTCAGACTTGGTCACTACTCTGGCTTCTATGTCTGCATGCAAGCATGTAGCAGCCCCTAAAGATCACTGTATCGACAGCGACATCTCGGACTTGGTCACTACTCTGGCTTCTATGTCTGCATGCAAGCATGTAGCAGCCCCTAAAGATCACTGTATCTACAGCAACATCTCGGACTTGGTCACTACTCTGGCTTCTATGTCTGCATGCAAGCATGTAGCAGCCCCTAAAGATCACTGTATCTACAGCAACATCTCGGACTTGGTCACTACTCTGGCTTCTATGTCTGCATGCAAGCATGTAGCAGCCCCTAAAGATCACTGTATCGACAGCGACATCTCGGACTTGGTCACTACTCTGGCTTCTATGTCTGCTGCAAGCATGTAGCAGCCCCTAAAGATCACTGTATCGACAGCGACATCTCGGACTTGGTCACTACTCTGGCTTCTATGTCTGCATGCAAGCATGTAGCAGCCCCTAAAGATCACTGTATCGACAGCGACATCTCGGACTTGGTCACTACTCTGGCTTCTATGTCTGCTGCAAGCATGTAGCAGCCCCTAAAGATCACTGTATCGACAGCGACATCTCGGACTTGGTCACTACTCTGGCTTCTATGTCTGCATGCAAGCATGTAGCAGCCCCTAAAGATCACTGTATCTACAGCAACATCTCGGAAATTGAATCCTATACAAACACTGTCACAAAAACATGTTTTCCCTTTGCATACTACATAACGTAGCATGCTGATTGCTCTATAATGGCGTCCATGACAAACCGGTTTCATGCTTGCTCGAGCCAAGATGATCATTTTACCATCTATTCAAAATATTGTTTACAACATTTGGTATATTAAGTTACAAGTCAGTCCACAACAACCTTTCGATTTATCAGATATTCATAAAACCCTGTTTGTCAGAGATTTAGGCCTGTCCATTCACAGGGCAATATTCGCACCCAAATCTGCCCCAATTGTCAGTAAAAATTCCCAAATGGGAATTAAAACGTTGCTAAGTCATGTAAAGGTAGTTAATGTGATGACTTAGTCGAGGTGACATGTATAACTAATAATAAGAAGGCCCCTTGTAAAGTCTTGTAACTCCACGCCCCATGAACATGCACAAAGCACACACAAAATCTCCTATTCCACTGATGATAACAGGACCAAACAAGTCTCAATTTTATATTATTAAACTGAGTGCAATGTTACAAGTCAATGTTAAAATACCTCTGAAAATAAGAAACAAATTTTAAAAAGTTCCAATTTTAAACTAAATTGTTATTTTCCCAATTAGCCTGCTTAGGGCACCTAGAGTCTGGAAGGTAATTTAAGGTACCGATGTTTACTACAATATCTGAAAAACTATCGGACCTACTCCAGTCAAAGTTGGTATGAGATTATTAAACAGTCATACATAACTGGATATTACATTTGAAGACAATCGGTGCATGAATAAAAAATCTGTCTATTTAGCTATCACTATATTTCATCACGGGTGGAACGAGCATTCATTGTAACAGCCATCTGCATAATGCTATCCCTGCGTCACAGGGCCATATGACACAGTTGAACCAATCAACTCAACTCGAAAGGGTGCACGGGAGCACCCTTTCGAGTTGAGTTGGAGGGAACACAAAATGAATGCCTGTTTATACGGTCTGTCTACTGTTTGTTTGTTGCTCCAGCTACAGTAGAACACGGATAGAGCGAACAAACGGATAGAGCGAACAAACGGATATAATGAACTGTTAAAAAATCCCTGATTTATCTCCTATATAATATCATATAAAATTTACGTATATAACAAACTCTCTACGGCGAACTAACGAATACAGTGAACTGATAGCTGATCACCGAAAAACCCATCTACTACTAAGTATTGACATGTATAGCAAACTAAGAAATTTCACTCAGTGTCAAGTGTCACTGACGATTGGCTGTACGCAATCAGCGGCGAATCAACACAATCAACGGTGACGGATCAACACAATCAGCGTTGACGGATCAACCTTGTTAAACTTTAATGAATGTTATGGAATGTTATCAATCGAATGCTATGAAGTGATCACTACTGATACAAGTCAATGCTGCAGTTACGTGTATTGTGTTTTGTTTTACACAAGATGGCGGACGTTTCCGAGCAAAAACGTATATAACGAACAACGGTTATAACAAACTGATTTCTCTGGTCCCTTGTAGTTCTACTGTATATGACAGCGGTCTGAAAACATTCGAGTTTGTCCCAGACGATCAAGTGATTGATATTGTGAGCACCATCCCACACCATCAGGCTGCCATGTATGACTACCGTATTCGACGTAATAAGCGCCTGTACACGGCGACATTTGCTGATATATTGGCTTGTGAACAATCCCAATTAGCACCCTCCTGATTGATCAATGTAAACAAGACATATTTATTTGAGTATAATACGCACTCGTGTGTTATATGCACCCTTAATTACGGGGAATTAAATTCTGGAAAAATATATGTCATACATAAATATTTCAGGCTGTCAGCATAAACCACGAAATTTATCTTTCAACTCTGTTTTTTTTCACCAAAATAATATTCTAATAAGAGCCACCTATTTCTAATTTCGAGAAAGCACTGGGCTTTTATTACGTCGAATACGGTAAGTCACCTAGCCTGACCACTTGATGCACTAGACTGCCTTGTACTTCAAGGATGGACCTACAGCTGCTGAAGCTGTGTATGAACAGACAATGAAGTGGTTGATGTGCCGATCCTTCACTCACCATAATCTGCCTTGGCGCTGTTTGGCGGAGGCTCCGGGAGACTGGTGATACCTGGGGGTTATAAACATGTTATATATGCAAGAGGGTGATAAACATGTTACGCCTAGGGTTATAAAACTATCCTGACATACTCTTTTTTCAAACAGTTAAGTTGGCATTGTTGATATTTTTGAGGAATGAGAATGCAAAACTCAAATTCTGCTTTTTCAAAAATAGAATGTCTTCAACAATAGAATTCAGCTATATTGAAAGTCAAATATCCTTGTCTGTATGTAAATTTCCTCTGCACTCAAGTGATGTCACCTATTTTTGTGTGTGTGTGAGACAAACATGTTATACCTGGAAACTATAACATGTTATATATACCTGGGGTTATCTGGGGTTATTTGGGAGAGATGTAAATACTTGCGGGTTGTAAACATGTCTTACATAGCATGGGGGATAAAAATGTTATACCCAACGTTTAAAAACATGTAATAAATACCTGGAGGTGACAAATATGTTATACCTAGGTGTTGTAAACATGTTATATATACCTTGGAGAGATGAAAATACTTGTTATACCCAAGATTTCAAAGTATGTAATCAATACCTGGGGGTAATAAAAATGTTATACCTAGGGTTTAAAAACATGTAATAAATACCTGGGGGTGATATATATGTTATACCTAGGTGTTGTAAACATGTTATATATACCTGGGAGAGATGAAAATACTTGCGGGTTGTAAACATGTCGTACATAGCATGGGTGATAAAAATGTTATACCCAACGTTTAAAAACATGTAATAAATACCTGCAGGTGATATATATGTTATACCTAGGTGTTGTAAACATGTTATATATACCTGGGAGAGATGAAAATACTTGGGGGTTGTAAACATGTCGTACATAGCATGGGTGATAAAAATGTTATACCCAACGTTTAAAAACATGTAATAAATACCTGGAGGTGATATATATGTTATACCTAGGTGTTGTAAACATGTTATATATACCTGGGAGAGATGAAAATACTTGCGGGTTGTAAACATGTAAGCATGGGTGCTAAAAATGCTATATCCAGGGTCTAAAAACATGTAATAAATACCTGGAGGTGATATATATGTTATACCTAGGTGTTGTAAACATGTTATATATACCTGGGAGAGATGAAAATACTTGCGGGTTGTAAACATGTCGTACATAGCATGGGTGATAAAAATGTTATACCCAACGTTTAAAAACATGTAATAAATACCTGGAGGTGATATATATGTTATACCTAGGTGTTGTAAACATGTTATATATACCTGGGAGAGATGAAAATACTTGCGGGTTGTAAACATGTCGTACATAGCATGGGTGATAAAAATGTTATACCCAACGTTTAAAAACATGTAATAAATACCTGGAGGTGATATATATGTTATACCTAGGTGTTGTAAACATGTTATATATACCTGGGAGAGATGAAAATACTTGCGGGTTGTAAACATGTCGTACATAGCATGGGTGATAAAAATGTTATACCCAACGTTTAAAAACATGTAATAAATACCTGGAGGTGATATATATGTTATACCTAGGTGTTGTAAACATGTTATATATACCTGGGAGAGATGAAAATACTTGCGGGTTGTAAACATGTCGTACATAGCATGGGTGATAAAAATGTTATACCCAACGTTTAAAAACATGTAATAAATACCTGGAGGTGATATATATGTTATACCTAGGTGTTGTAAACATGTTATATATACCTGGGAGAGATGAAAATACTTGCGGGTTGTAAACATGTTGTACATAGCATGGGTGATAAAAATGTTATACCCAACGTTTAAAAACATGTAATAAATACCTGGAGGTGATATATATGTTATACCTAGGTGTTGTAAACATGTTATATATACCTGGGAGAGATGAAAATACTTGCGGGTTGTAAACATGTAAGCATGGGTGCTAAAAATGCTATATCCAGGGTCTAAAAACATGTAATAAATACCTGGAGGTGATATATATGTTATACCTAGGTGTTGTAAACATGTTATATATACCTGGGAGAGATGAAAATACTTGCGGGTTGTAAACATGTCGTACATAGCATGGGTGATAAAAATGTTATACCCAACGTTTAAAAACATGTAATAAATACCTGGAGGTGATATATATGTTATACCTAGGTGTTGTAAACATGTTATATATACCTGGGAGAGATGAAAATACTTGCGGGTTGTAAACATGTCGTACATAGCATGGGTGATAAAAATGTTATACCCAACGTTTAAAAACATGTAATAAATACCTGGAGGTGATATATATGTTATACCTAGGTGTTGTAAACATGTTATATATACCTGGGAGAGATGAAAATACTTGCGGGTTGTAAACATGTCGTACATAGCATGGGTGATAAAAATGTTATACCCAACGTTTAAAAACATGTAATAAATACCTGGAGGTGATATATATGTTATACCTAGGTGTTGTAAACATGTTATATATACCTAGGAGAGATGAAAATACTTGCGGGTTGTAAACATGTAAGCATGGGTGCTAAAAATGCTATATCCAGGGTCTAAAAACATGTAATAAATACCTGGAGGTGACAAATATGTTATACCTAGGTGTTGTAAACATGTAATATATACCTGGGAGAGATGAAAATACTTGCGGGTTGTAAACATGTCGTACATAGCATGGGTGATAAAAATGTTATACCCAACGTTTAAAAACATGTAATAAATACCTGGAGGTGATATATATGTTATACCTAGGTGTTGTAAACATGTTATATATACCTTGGAGAGATGAAAATACTTGCGGGTTGTAAACATGTCGTACATAGCATGGGTGATAAAAATGTTATACCCAACGTTTAAAAACATGTAATAAATACCTGGAGGTGATATATATGTTATACCTAGGTGTTGTAAACATGTTATATATACCTGGGAGAGATGAAAATACTTGGGGGTTGTAAACATGTAATATATACCTGGGAGAGATGAAAATACTTGCGGGTTGTAAACATGTCGTACATAGCATGGGTGATAAAAATGTTATACCCAACGTTTAAAAACATGTAATAAATACCTGGAGGTGATATATATGTTATACCTAGGTGTTGTAAACATGTTATATATACCTTGGAGAGATGAAAATACTTGGGGGTTGTAAACATGTCGTACATAGCATGGGTGATAAAAATGTTATACCCAACGTTTAAAAACATGTAATAAATACCTGGAGGTGATATATATGTTATACCTAGGTGTTGTAAACATGTTATATATACCTGGGAGAGATGAAAATACTTGCGGGTTGTAAACATGTCGTACATAGCATGGGTGATAAAAATGTTATACCCAACGTTTAAAAACATGTAATAAATACCTGGAGGTGATATATATGTTATACCTAGGTGTTGTAAACATGTAATATATACCTGGGAGAGATGAAAATACTTGCGGGTTGTAAACATGTCGTACATAGCATGGGTGATAAAAATGTTATACCCAACGTTTAAAAACATGTAATAAATACCTGGAGGTGATATATATGTTATACCTAGGTGTTGTAAACATGTTATATATACCTGGGAGAGATGAAAATACTTGCGGGTTGTAAACATGTCGTACATAGCATGGGTGATAAAAATGTTATACCCAACGTTTAAAAACATGTAATAAATACCTGGAGGTGATATATATGTTATACCTAGGTGTTGTAAACATGTTATATATACCTGGGAGAGATGAAAATACTTGCGGGTTGTAAACATGTAAGCATGGGTGCTAAAAATGCTATATCCAGGGTCTAAAAACATGTAATAAATACCTGGAGGTGACAAATATGTTATACCTAGGTGTTGTAAACATGTAATATATACCTGGGAGAGATGAAAATACTTGCGGGTTGTAAACATGTCGTACATAGCATGGGTGATAAAAATGTTATACCCAACGTTTAAAAACATGTAATAAATACCTGGAGGTGATATATATGTTATACCTAGGTGTTGTAAACATGTTATATATACCTGGGAGAGATGAAAATACTTGCGGGTTGTAAACATGTCGTACATAGCATGGGTGATAAAAATGTTATACCCAACGTTTAAAAACATGTAATAAATACCTGGAGGTGATATATATGTTATACCTAGGTGTTGTAAACATGTTATATATACCTGGGAGAGATGAAAATACTTGGGGGTTGTAAACATGTTATATATACCTGGGAGAGATGAAAATACTTGCGGGTTGTAAACATGTCGTACATAGCATGGGTGATAAAAATGTTATACCCAACGTTTAAAAACATGTAATAAATACCTGGAGGTGATATATATGTTCTACCTAGGTGTTGTAAACATGTTATATATACCTGGGAGAGATGAAAATACTTGCGGGTTGTAAACATGTAAGCATGGGTGCTAAAAATGCTATATCCAGGGTCTAAAAACATGTAATAAATACCTGGAGGTGATATATATGTTATACCTAGGTGTTGTAAACATGTTATATATACCTGGGAGAGATGAAAATACTTGCGGGTTGTAAACATGTCGTACATAGCATGGGTGATAAAAATGTTATACCCAACGTTTAAAAACATGTAATAAATACCTGGAGGTGATATATATGTTCTACCTAGGTGTTGTAAACATGTTATATATACCTGGGAGAGATGAAAATACTTGCGGGTTGTAAACATGTAAGCATGGGTGCTAAAAATGCTATATCCAGGGTCTAAAAACATGTAATAAATACCTGGAGGTGATATATATGTTATACCTAGGTGTTGTAAACATGTTATATATACCTTGGAGAGATGAAAATACTTGCGGGTTGTAAACATGTCGTACATAGCATGGGTGATAAAAATGTTATACCCAACGTTTAAAAACATGTAATAAATACCTGGAGGTGATATATATGTTATACCTAGGTGTTGTAAACATGTAATATATACCTTGGAGAGATGAAAATACTTGCGGGTTGTAAACATGTCGTACATAGCATGGGTGATAAAAATGTTATACCCAACGTTTAAAAACATGTAATAAATACCTGGAGGTGATATATATGTTATACCTAGGTGTTGTAAACATGTTATATATACCTGGGAGAGATGAAAATACTTGCGGGTTGTAAACATGTAAGCATGTGTGCTAAAAATGCTATATCCAGGGTCTAAAAACATGTAATAAATACCTGGAGGTGATATATATGTTATACCTAGGTGTTGTAAACATGTTATATATACCTGGGAGAGATGAAAATACTTGCGGGTTGTAAACATGTAAGCATGGGTGCTAAAAATGCTATATCCAGGGTCTAAAAACATGTAATAAATACCTGGAGGTGATATATATGTTATACCTAGGTGTTGTAAACATGTTATATATACCTTGGAGAGATGAAAATACTTGCGGGTTGTAAACATGTCGTACATAGCATGGGTGATAAAAATGTTATACCCAACGTTTAAAAACATGTAATAAATACCTGGAGGTGATATATATGTTATACCTAGGTGTTGTAAACATGTAATATATACCTTGGAGAGATGAAAATACTTGCGGGTTGTAAACATGTCGTATATAGCATGGGTGATAAAAATGTTATACCCAACGTTTAAAAACATGTAATAAATACCTGGAGGTGATATATATGTTATACCTAGGTGTTGTAAACATGTTATATATACCTGGGAGAGATGAAAATACTTGCGGGTTGTAAACATGTAAGCATGGGTGCTAAAAATGCTATATCCAGGGTCTAAAAACATGTAATAAATACCTGGAGGTGATATATATGTTATACCTAGGTGTTGTAAACATGTTATATATACCTGGGAGAGATGAAAATACTTGCGGGTTGTAAACATGTCGTACATAGCATGGGTGATAAAAATGTTATACCCAACGTTTAAAAACATGTAATAAATACCTGGAGGTGATATATATGTTATACCTAGGTGTTGTAAACATGTTATATATACCTGGGAGAGATGAAAATACTTGCGGGTTGTAAACATGTTGTACATAGCATGGGTGATAAAAATGTTATACCCAACGTTTAAAAACATGTAATAAATACCTGGAGGTGATATATATGTTATACCTAGGTGTTGTAAACATGTTATATATACCTGGGAGAGATGAAAATACTTGCGGGTTGTAAACATGTAAGCATGGGTGCTAAAAATGCTATATCCAGGGTCTAAAAACATGTAATAAATACCTGGAGGTGATATATATGTTATACCTAGGTGTTGTAAACATGTTATATATACCTGGGAGAGATGAAAATACTTGCGGGTTGTAAACATGTCGTACATAGCATGGGTGATAAAAATGTTATACCCAACGTTTAAAAACATGTAATAAATACCTGGAGGTGATATATATGTTATACCTAGGTGTTGTAAACATGTAATATATACCTTGGAGAGATGAAAATACTTGCGGGTTGTAAACATGTCGTACATAGCATGGGTGATAAAAATGTTATACCCAACGTTTAAAAACATGTAATAAATACCTGGAGGTGATATATATGTTATACCTAGGTGTTGTAAACATGTTATATATACCTGGGAGAGATGAAAATACTTGCGGGTTGTAAACATGTAAGCATGGGTGCTAAAAATGCTATATCCAGGGTCTAAAAACATGTAATAAATACCTGGAGGTGATATATATGTTATACCTAGGTGTTGTAAACATGTTATATATACCTGGGAGAGATGAAAATACTTGCGGGTTGTAAACATGTCGTACATAGCATGGGTGATAAAAATGTTATACCCAACGTTTAAAAACATGTAATAAATACCTGGAGGTGATATATATGTTATACCTAGGTGTTGTAAACATGTAATATATACCTTGGAGAGATGAAAATACTTGCGGGTTGTAAACATGTCGTACATAGCATGGGTGATAAAAATGTTATACCCAACGTTTAAAAACATGTAATAAATACCTGGAGGTGATATATATGTTATACCTAGGTGTTGTAAACATGTTATATATACCTGGGAGAGATGAAAATACTTGCGGGTTGTAAACATGTAAGCATGGGTGCTAAAAATGCTATATCCAGGGTCTAAAAACATGTAATAAATACCTGGAGGTGATATATATGTTATACCTAGGTGTTGTAAACATGTTATATATACCTGGGAGAGATGAAAATACTTGCGGGTTGTAAACATGTAAGCATGGGTGCTAAAAATGCTATATCCAGGGTCTAAAAACATGTAATAAATACCTGGAGGTGACAAATATGTTATACCTAGGTGTTGTAAACATGTTATATATACCTTGGAGAGATGAAAATACTTGCGGGTTGTAAACATGTCGTACATAGCATGGGTGATAAAAATGTTATACCCAACGTTTAAAAACATGTAATAAATACCTGGAGGTGATATATATGTTATACCTAGGTGTTGTAAACATGTTATATATACCTGGGAGAGATGAAAATACTTGCGGGTTGTAAACATGTAAGCATGGGTGCTAAAAATGCTATATCCAGGGTCTAAAAACATGTAATAAATACCTGGAGGTGATATATATGTTATACCTAGGTGTTGTAAACATGTTATATATACCTTGGAGAGATGAAAATACTTGCGGGTTGTAAACATGTCGTACATAGCATGGGTGATAAAAATGTTATACCCAACGTTTAAAAACATGTAATAAATACCTGGAGGTGATATATATGTTATACCTAGGTGTTGTAAACATGTTATATATACCTGGGAGAGATGAAAATACTTGCGGGTTGTAAACATGTTGTACATAGCATGGGTGATAAAAATGTTATACCCAACGTTTAAAAACATGTAATAAATACCTGGAGGTGATATATATGTTATACCTAGGTGTTGTAAACATGTTATATATACCTGGGAGAGATGAAAATACTTGCGGGTTGTAAACATGTAAGCATGGGTGCTAAAAATGCTATATCCAGGGTCTAAAAACATGTAATAAATACCTGGAGGTGACAAATATGTTATACCTAGGTGTTGTAAACATGTTATATATACCTTGGAGAGATGAAAATACTTGCGGGTTGTAAACATGTCGTACATAGCATGGGTGATAAAAATGTTATACCCAACGTTTAAAAACATGTAATAAATACCTGGAGGTGATATATATGTTATACCTAGGTGTTGTAAACATGTTATATATACCTGGGAGAGATGAAAATACTTGCGGGTTGTAAACATGTTGTACATAGCATGGGTGATAAAAATGTTATACCCAACGTTTAAAAACATGTAATAAATACCTGGAGGTGATATATATGTTATACCTAGGTGTTGTAAACATGTTATATATACCTGGGAGAGATGAAAATACTTGCGGGTTGTAAACATGTAAGCATGGGTGCTAAAAATGCTATATCCAGGGTCTAAAAACATGTAATAAATACCTGGAGGTGACAAATATGTTATACCTAGGTGTTGTAAACATGTTATATATACCTTGGAGAGATGAAAATACTTGCGGGTTGTAAACATGTCGTACATAGCATGGGTGATAAAAATGTTATACCCAACGTTTAAAAACATGTAATAAATACCTGGGGGTGATATATATGTTATACCTAGGTGTTGTAAACATGTTATATATACCTAGGTATCCCAGAACATTTCAACAACTTCAGTAATTTCTGATTTCCTTCACTGATAAAAGTACATTTTGAGAAATTGTTTGAAGCACTCTGGGCATTGCAATACAAGAGATCAATATTTTCATGTTAATATTAGCATATATGCCAAAGAACATAACTCCACACCGGATTCCAAAAACTTTGTTAGAAGAAAAAAACATGTTTGGTCTGCTTCAAAATTGACACAGTAAAAGAGTCCGAAGTCCCCGCAGTCTTGATAAAAATACGCATTCACTCCCTCCCTCACTCACTTGTGTGTTTGTTTGTTTGTTTGTTTGTTTGTTGTTTAACACCCCATTCAGCAGTATTCCAGCTATATGATGGTGGTCTGTAAATAATCAAGTCTGGATCAGACAATCCAGTGATTGACATCATGAGCATCGATCTACGTAATTGGGATATGATGATATGTATCAACCAAGTCAGCTGGCCTGAACACCCGATCCCGTTAGTCGCCTCTTACGACAAGCATAGTCGCCTCTTACGACAAGCATAGTCACCTCTTACGACAAGCATAGTCGCCTCTTACGACAAGCATAGTCACCTCTTACGACAAGCATAGTCGCCTCTTACGACAAGCATAGTCGCCTCTTACAAGCATAGTCGCCTCTTACGACAAGCATAGTCGCCTCTTACGACAAGCATAGTCGCCTCTTACGACAAGCATAGTCGCCTCTTACGACAAGCATAGTCACCTCTTACGACAAGCATAGTCGCCTCTTACGACAAGCATAGTCACCTCTTACGACATGCATGGGTTGCTAGGGACTGTTTCTAACCAGGGAATCCGTGCGGGTTTCGCTCCCTTGGAACTCACACTCACCTTGTTTTTTCAAGACATATTCCATGATTATCTCCCTTGCTTTTTCATACTTGGGAGTTATATTCCCAGCTTCGTCTAGAGGAGCATCATAGTCTGAAAGACACGGAAAGATGAAGTGCGAAACCGGACATTCTAACACAACTAAAAATATATGTGGAGATTGCTGATCTGATCTCCACTGTTCACTTTGAAACAGGGAAGATTCTCTTTATCATATGATGGGGGGCACGGGAGGCCAAGTCGTCTAAGGCGCCTCGATTCGCTGTGCAGAGTTGGGTCCCTTGGGCACGACAGAAACCTATGATTGTGGGTTCATATCCCGGTTCATCCCGATTATGTTTCTAGGTTTGTCAGCACCATACCCGTGCTCGTGGGTTTGACCGAAGTGGTCAACGTCTGAGACCTGCATCACTTCGGGCTTTCCTCCCACATAAAGCTGACACGCTGCGATATAACTGGAATACTGTTAAAAGCGGCGTTAAACCCAACTCACTCACTCACTCATATGATGCCATTCTTAAAACAAGAGTCATCAGAAGATGCCAATCCCCCTTGCCCCAATCATCTGACTGTCACATTAAGTCCAACTTGATGAGAGTATTTCTCTGTAATCTGTCTGTCCGTATACAAGAGTAGTTATTGAGCTATCAGAACAATACCATGGAATTGGGATTCGGAACTTTGTATTTCTACGTCAGGTACATGCCAATATGAACAGTCAAAATTAAAATTGTTGCCATGGAAACAGATATTTTTTTCTAAACACCCCCAAGTAGCAAAAGGCAAACTGGTCTTTGTGTGTGCAAAGTGTCATGAAAGAATACCTATCAGTTTTAGAGATATGGTCTGGACAAACACACCACTATGAACAGTGTCCAAGTCAAACTTGTTGCCATGGAAACAGGAATTATATTTTTTTCTTAAATTCCTAAATAACAAAAAACACCACTTCAGCCCTTGGTGAATACATGTACTAGGTTAAGGTGAAAAGTCTTTCACAGTTTTCAAGTTGTGCTCCGGAAACGACACCTACCTCTACCTCTAAGTCCAAATTGTTTCAATGGAAATCAAGAAAAATAAAACGCCAAAAATCAGGATCTGTTTTGATATATCTGGAACAATGAAAAATATGGAACGGTTTTCGAGTTACGCTCCAGAAACACAAAATTATCCGTGAAACTAGCAATCATGTCCTTGTCCAACTTCTTTCCATAAAGATTTTAAAAATAATTTTTTTTTAAAAATTACAAAATAGCAAAAGGCACCACTTTAGCATGTGACTGATACATCTTTCAAGTTTCGATCAAATATACTGAGAACCCCATCCCCAATGGAGTCTATGTCCAACTTCTTTCCATAAGGGAGGTCGGGGAGCCTAGTGGTTAAAGCGTTCGTTCGTCACGCCGAAGACCCGGGTTCAATTCCCGACATGGGTACAATGTGTGAAGCCCATTTCTGGTGTCCCCCGCCGTGATATTGCTAGATTATTGCTAAAAGTGGCGTAAAACCATACTCACTCAGTCACTCACTCACTCTTTCCATAAACATTTAAAAAATAAGAAATCCCAAAATCACAAAATATCAAAAGCACCACTTCAGTATGTGAGTATATGTATATTTGCCAAGTTTCGATCAAATACACTGAATGGTTTTCGAGTTCTGCCCCGGAAAAGGAAATGATTACCGACAGACAGAGACAGACAGGCTGATCGATCACTATATCCCCCTGCATTATATGCCGAGGGATAATAAGTGATGCTGAAGTCATGTTTCCATTCACTAAAGCATCTGTAGAAACCACGTAGGAATACAATACCTAAGTAAACTGACCCATTTCTGACCCATCCACATGATTTGCAGCCAAAGGTGAAAAAGACAAAAAAATTTATCATAGATGTCTGTTGTAGGAAGTCTGACATGACACCAGTCATCATCACTGCAGAAGCTGTGCCATCTGTGTCAGCCTACAAGAGCCTCAGTTCCTTTTTTAATTTATTTTCTAGGGTCTGGGAGACAGACTAAGTACATGTATAAACATCAAATAAGAAACTTCTTAATTCCTAATTTTGGGTTTCTTACTGACAATTGCTGCAGACTTGGGGCCGAATATTAGCCTCTGGTGAGGTGAAATGAAGGTTAACGCCACGTTCGAGATTATTGCACTTATATAGCGACTTGCCTGCATGTGTGTATGTGTGCGTGTGTGGCTGCTTTGTACTAGTCCGGACTGATACTCACTGAGATACCATGCCGCAGTTTAACATGAATACCCCACTCAGACACAGTGTACTGACTCCGAGCCGACCAGTCCTTGTTTTAGCCCCTTAATGCCAAGCGCCAGACAAGGTAACAACAAGTACCATCTTTTACGTCTTTTGGTATGACGGGGCTGGGAATCGAACCCTGGACCTTCCGCTCTCCGGGCGGATGCTCTACCACTACTCCACGGAGGCGGTCTGGAATGAGTGGAAACAAGTTTAATTCCTGAATAATGTGATATGATAATTCATGCAGGCTGAATCATGTGAATGTGACTAGTGGCAGGGTACTGTAGTTCACCTGTACAAGTAGACAGCCACTCAACAATATTAGCATTGATATTCAAATATCCTCCTCTAATATTGTTGTTGTTCTTGTTTGTTGTTTATGCCGCACTCAGCAATATTCCATTATATGACAGCGGTCTGTAAATAATCGAATCTGGACCAGACAATCCAGTGATTGACATCATGAGCATTGATCCCCGTAATTGGGATCGATGACATGTATCAACCAAGTCAGCGAGTCTGACCACCCGATCCCTTTAGTCACCTCTTACGACAAGCACAGTCGCCTTTTATGGCAAGCATGGGTTGCTGAAGACCTATTCTACCCTGGATAGTCGCCTTCTGATATCTAAAATCAAAGAATTAAGGTGTGTTTACAAATATAAATGAGAAACCAATTTCAACAATATTTCTGATGAATGAAATATTGTATAACAGTTAACAACACACTCAGACAGGAAACAGGAGTTGTCTGGCGCCAGTGGGAATATTGTCTCATACCGTAGCTGGTAACATCCGGCTTGTAGTCATCAAAATAGTTGGCGCCTGCCATAAAACCGAAGTTGGTGCCACCATGAAACATGTAGAAGTTGACGGAAGAATCATTGTGAAGAATTCCAGACAGACTCTTGGCAAAAGCTGAAACAGAAAGTTTATCACATGACTATGAGTAAATCTCCCAAGCGAAAATATCTAAAAGATTTAGTAGGGGGGGGGTAATTTTATTTTGTTATATCATATAAAACCCAGAGAATTTCTTCATTCATCAGAACTGAAGAAATCTACACTTGCTAATGTTGACCTTGACCTTTGATCTATCGTGCCCTTGTGGTCATCATGGAGAATGCATACAGACCTCCATTTCACACAACAGACCCACCTTCACCTTCCAGGGAGAAAGTGTCACACAACAGACCATCCTTCCATGGAGAAAGTGTCACACAAGACCCACCTTCCAGGGAGAAAGTGTCACACAACAGACCCACCTTCACCTTCCAGGGAGAAAGTGTCACATAACAGACCATCCTTCCATGGAGAAAGTGTCACACAACAGACCATCCTTCCATGGAGAAAGTGTCACGCAAGACCCACCTTCCATGGAGAAAGTGTCACACAACAGACCCACCTGAACCTTCCAGGGAGAAAGTGCCACACAACAGACCAACCTTCCAGGGAGAAAGTGTCACGCAAGACCCACCTTCCAGGGAGAAAGTGTCAGACAACAGACCCACCTTCACCTTCCAGGGAGAAAGTGTCACGCAAGACCCACCTTCCAGGGAGAAAGTGTCACACAACAGACCCACCTTCACCTTCCAGGGAGAAAGTGTCACACAAGACCCACCTTCACCTTCCAGGGGGAAAGTGTCACACAACAGACTCACCTTCACCTTCCAGGGGGAAAGTGTCACACAACAGACTCACCTTCCAGGGGGAAAGTGTCACACAACAGACTCACCTTCCAGGGAGAAAGTGTCACACAAGACCCACCTTCACCTTCCAGGGGGAAAGTGTCACACAACAGACTCACCTTCACCTTCCAGGGAGAAAGTGTCACACAACAGACTCACCTTCCAGGGGGAAAGTGTCACACAACAGACTCACCTTCACCTTCCAGGGAGAAAGTGTCACACAACAGACTCACCTTCCAGGGGGAAAGTGTCACACAACAGACTCACCTTCCAGGGGGAAAGTGTCACACAACAGACTCACCTTCCAGGGAGAAAGTTTCACACAACAGACTCACCTTCACCTTCCAGGGAGAAAGTGTCACACAACAGACTCACCTTCCAGGGAGAAAGTTTCACACAACAGACCCACCTTCCAGGGAGAAAGTGTCACACAAGACCCACCTTCACCTTCCAGGGAGAAAGTGTCACACAACAGACTCACCTTCACCTTCCAGGGAGAAAGTGTCACACAACAGACTCACCTTCCAGGGAGAAAGTGTCACACAACAGACTCACCTTCCAGGGAGAAAGTTTCACACAACAGACCCACCTTCCAGGGAGAAAGTGTCACACAAGACCCACCTTCACCTTCCAGGGAGAAAGTGTCACACAACAGACTCACCTTCACCTTCCAGGGAGAAAGTGTCACACAACAGACTCACCTTCACCTTCCAGGGAGAAAGTGTCACACAACAGACCCACCTTCACCTTCCAGGGAGAAAGTGTCACACAACAGACCAACCTTCCAGGGAGAAAGTGTCACACAACAGACCAACCTTCCAGGGAGAAAGTGTCACACAACAGACCAACCTTCCAGGGAGAAAGTGTCACGCAACAGACTCACCTTCCAGGGGGAAAGTGGAGTGTGGCGAGCCCCAGTGGTCGAACCATCCACTCCAGTACTCCATCACCATCAGGGGAAAGTCTGGGTTCAGCTCCCGGATGGCGTTGAACTCCTTACTGCTCTTCTCATAGTCCTGGAAGTTTGCCGTGGGTAGAGCATCTAGAGTGAATGAGAGGATGTAGCTGAATGCTGCAGTCACAATATTTCTACTGTGTCACAAGGGCAGCCTGTATAAAATCATGTCTGAACGAGACGACCGCCTCCGCTGGCCTAGTGGTAGAGCATCCGCCCGGAGAGCGGAAGGTCGGGGGTTCGATCCCCGGCCGCGTCATACCAAAAGACGTTAAAAGATGGTACTTGTTGTTACCCTGCCTGGCGCTCGGCATTAAGGGGCTAAAACAAGGACTGGTCGGCTCTGAGTCAGTATACTGTGTCTGAGTGGGGTATTCATGTTAAACTGTGGCATGGTATCTCAGTGTGCCAGCACTATAAATCAGTATCAGGCCGGACTAGTACAAGCAGCCACACACACACACTTGCATGCACGTCGCTACATAAGTGCAATAATCTTGGACGCTACGTTAAACTCCATTTCACCTCACCTCACCTCACCTCACCTCACCTCTGAACCAGACAAATCAGGGATTATACTTCCAGGGAATGATGACACACAACCTGCCACATCACAGACCCTCCCTTCAAGTTTAGTCGACTTTCACCAAAAGCCAGCCATCATAGGTTATCCTAAGAACTGCTTGGCTCCTTAAGATATTTTTCATGGTAAAAAAAAGTACTATTTCAGGAGTCAACATAATTTGAGATTGAGCTGTCAGTCTGTCTGTTTTTCTGCTTATACGAGTCCGGACTAAAGGCGCTTTTATAGACCAGGCCCACTGGGATATTTTGACGCAGTTTGACATGGATACCCACTCAGATACAGTATACTGACTCTGAACAGAATAGTCATTTTTTCATCACCTTAATACCAAGCAAGAGACAGGGTAACAAAAAGTACCATCTTTTAACCTTTTTTTTATGATGCAGCCAAGATCGAACCGACCTTCCACAATTGTTATTCCTAATACAGCATATCTGTATTTACATCGACATCACTACCAGGGCTGCTCATTATGTAAGTTGACCCGTGAAGATCCGGGGTAGAATAGGTCTCCAGCAACCTATACTTGCCGTAAAAGGCGACTATGCTTGTCGTAAGAGGCGACTAACGGGATCGGGTGGTCAGGCTCGCTGACTTGTTTGATGCATGTCATCGATCCCAAATGCGTGGATCGATGCTCATGGCATCAATCACTGGATTGTCTGGTCCAGACTCGATTATTTACACATTACCGTCAAATAGCTGGAATACTGCTGAGTTTGGCATTAAACAACAAACAAACAAATAAACAAACAAACATAGGCATCACAACACAACAGGTTATACAACATAACACAAACTTCTGCTGAACACTGGGGGCACGTCTAAGGCGCCACGATTCGCTATGCAGAGTTGCATCCCTTGGGCACGCCAGAAACCTATGATTGTGGGTTCGAATCCCGGTTCGCCCCAATTATGTTTCTAGGTTTGTCAGCACCATACCCGTGCTTGTGGGTTTCACCGAAGTGGTAAACGTCTGAGGCCTGCATCACTTTGGGCTTTCCTCCCACATTAAGCTGACACGCCGCGATATAACTGGAATACTGTTAAAAGCGGCGTTAAACCCAACTCACTCACTCTGCTGAACACTACGATATGGGAACATATTCTGCTGCTACTCACGTTTGTGGAATGGCGCCCTGCGCATCCCGGAAAGATTGTCGGAGGTGACGAGGAGCTCGGTGATGCCATTCTTTATCAACAGCTACATGAGACGAAGAAACAGGGAAACACGTCATCACAACAATTACTGGGCCAAAGAAGACGAACTCATCAATATCCATTCAAATATGTTTATAGAATCACAAAATAATGTATACATCTTTTTTGGAGATTCGAACATGTGCTCGCCACTTGTAAAGGTCGTATAGTGGATGATGTTATTTTGGAGAGGGAGTGTCTCGTGAGTTCCCCATGGATGTAGCTGGGTTTCGCAGATAAATGTGATGGCCGAACGATCGCATCCAAAAGCGGGAGAGATCTGACAATCAGTATTAGGAGAAAAGGTGCAGATAATTGGTTGTGAGAAAATAGCCACCCGTGCATAACATGGACTTATCCCACACTGCCGAGGTCGGATTCTATTGAGGGTGTCATCATTATTTAAATACGGGTAAATATTTTTTAAGCTTCTACATTTTATAATCCTCCTTAAAGAGACTGTAATTAATGTTGACATCTCATATAAGAATAAACGACTCGTGGTCGTTGTTCATCGTACAATAAAACACTGCGGGAGAACAAACCATCAGGGTTATTGTACGATAAACAACTCCCACTCATTGTTTATTTCTTAATATATGTCATAGATCTGATCATTGCTGATTATGTTTAATCAAGGCAAAAGGTGAGTACAACTTACATAATGTTTGTTGTTGGTTTGTTGTTTAACGCCGCACTCAGCAATATTCCAGCTATATGACGCTGGTCTGTAAATAATCGAGTCTGGACCAGATAATCCAGTGATTAATATCATGAGCATCGATCCACGCAATTGGGATCGATGACATGCATCAACCAAGTCAGCGAGCCTGACCGCCCGATCCCTTTGGTCGCCTCTTCCGATATGCAAAGTCGCCTTTTACGGCAAGCATGGGTTGCTGAAGACCTATTCTACCCCGGATCTTCACGGGTCAACTTACATAATGAGCAGCCCTGGCAGAGTCCAATGTCTTCGATAAGACTTCACCGAATGATTCCTGATATTACTTACATGCTTTCTATACCATCCAGTGACTTGAAGTAGTAAAGTCAATAGACAGAACCATTGTGCGAAATAGCTGCTTGCCTGATAGCCCGTGGCTAGCAATATTTTAGTGGGGCTAAAACTTTGAAAGACGTAAGCCTGGAATTTTTTTATGCACACCTCTTATTCAAAATCTTAGTTGATTCAAATAAAAAGTTCTCCCATTTCTGTTGATCACTCTGACCATCTGATAACAGCAATATTGTAAATTTTCTGATAAATTGTATATTTATATACTTATCCTATCACACTATGCATTCCTTCTTATTCGTCAATCTTGATGTGGAAAGGTCCTAGAACAAAGTTTCCAGCTTCAAAAAACACCACTCACCCAAACACATCCCATACATCACCAAATCACCACTGCGTGACACGACCCCAGCGACCTGACATATCCAACACCCTCATTCTCAATTCTATCGCTATGGTGTTTGGACGTTATACTCGAACAGATCATTTTTATTTTATTTTTTTTTTATATATAAAAAATATATACACGACTTCACTTCTAAAGTTTACCATTACCACGAAGAGAGTGTGGTATTAACTTTGTTCTAGGGTGTTTCCACATCAAGATCGAAGAATAAGAAGAAATGCATAGTGTGAGATTGGATAAGTTTAAAAATTATAATACTTATGTGATAAGAAAAAACTAGTAAACATTGTTGGTTGTTTCTGTAGTTATTTAACATGAAAAGTGGCAAGTTTTCCTGAGTGAGTGAGTAGTGAGTAAGTATGGTTTTACGCCGCTTTTAGCAATATTCCAGCAATATCACGGCAGGGGACACCAGAAATGGGCTTCACACATTGTACCCATGTCAGAAATCAAACCCAGATCTTCGGCATCACCAGCAAACGCTTTAACCACTAGGCTACCCGGCCGCCCCTCATGAGTGAGTGAAAGTTGGTATATTCCAGCTATTTGCTTGCTGATCCACAGCACGAGTTCTGTTGTGAACACAACACCAGTGGACATTCTGATGACCAGACAAACTAGTGGACCCATGAAGATTCCGGGGTAGAATAGGTCTTCAGCAACCCATGCTTGCCGTAAAAGGCTACTATGCTTGTCGTAAAAGGCGACAGACGGGATCGGGTGGTCAGGCTCGCTGACTTGGTTGATGCATGCCATCAATCCCAATTGCGTGGATCGATGGTCATGATATTAATCACTGGATTATTTTACATACCGCCGTCATATAGCTGGAATATTGCTGAGTGCGGCGTTAAACAACAAACAAACCAACCAACCAACAAACTAGTGACCAAAGGATGAGTAGCGATCCACATCATCTGGATGGTATGTTGTTGTGACGTTAGTGTATTGCAGTGCTCCAAATGGAAGCCACAGCAGCGTATTGTACGGATGAAAACTTGTCAAATATGGACGGATTGCAAATTACAACCATATCAAATATCCGGACATACAATGCCATATGCTCTCACGATTAATTGTTACCATACAATGACAATTTATTCTCAAAAACAAAAACTTCTGTATCGGACATTCCTGCCGCTTAAATGGACAATGCATCATTTTGTCTTGGAGGCAAATAAATTTCCTCCCAATCCTACATTGCCATTGGCTCATAAATTATCTTGTCTTGGTTATGGTTACGTTAGTTTTGCACCTAAATGAGAATGTACATCATGAGGTCTTTGAATTATGGCGGCACTTACTATATCACAGCAGGTGAGGTGAGATGAAATGGGGTTTAACGTCGCGTCCAAGATTATTGCATTTATATAGCAACGTGCATGTACGTGTTAGTGTTTGTGTGGCTGCATGTACTAGTCCGGACTAATGCCGATTTATAGAGCTAGCTCACTGAGATACCATGCCGCAGTTTAACATGAATACCCCACTCAGACACAGTATGCTGACTCCGAGCCGACCAGTCCTTGTTTTAGCCACTAAATGCCGAGCGCCAGGCAGGGTAACAACAAGTACAATCTTTTAACGTCTTTTGGTATGACGCGGCCGGGGATCGAACCCCCGACCTTCTGCTTTCCGGGCGACACTCTACCACAAGACCACGGTGGCGGCCTATATCATACCAGGACTGGGCAATTCTACACATGAGTAGTACAGTACGTATTGGTTTGAAAAAGTATGTCCGGTACTCGTCACTTCTGATCATGACCAGTACAGTAGTCCTATGGCTGGACCAGCATCTGGAGCACCGTGTGTTGGCGACACAGCTCTAACAACGGCAAATATGCAACTCACTGCTCTGAGGAAGTCGAGATGCTGCACCTCGTCACTGTAGGAGCCGAACTCATTCTCCACCTGCACGGCGATGATGGGGCCGCCCTGGGAATACTGAAACAGAGGGAATAATGAAACAGGGAATACAGAAACAGAGGAAATAATGAAACAGTGAATAATGAAATAGGGAATACAGAAACAGAGGGAATAATGAAACAGGGAATACAGAAACAGAGGAAATAATGAAACAGTGAATAATGAAATAGGGAATACAGAAACAGAGGGAATAATGAAACAGGGAATACAGAAACAGAGGGAATAATGAAACAGTGAATAATGAAATAGGGAATACAGAAACAGAGGGAATAATGAAACAGGGAATACAGAAACAGAGGGAATAATGAAACAGGGAATACAGAAACAGAGGAAATAATGAAACAGAGGGAATAATGAAACAGGGAATACAGAAACAGAGGGAATAATGAAACAGGGAATACAGAAACAGAGGGAATAATGAAACAGGGAATACAGAAACAGAGGGAATAATGAAACAGGGAATACAGAAACAGAGGGAATAATGAAAAAGAGGGAATATTGAAACAGGGAATACATTGAAACTTGGGGAATATGGAAACATGGGAAAAACTGAAACAGAGGGAATATTAAAACAAGGAATACTGAAGCCATGTTGTCAGGATTGGTCCACTTGAGGACCACACATAAGATTTACCAAATTGTTTCCATGGAAATACAAGAAATAGAAAAACCCAAATAATCACAAAATATGAAAAGGCAATAGTTGAGAATGTGGTCATTGTGGCTCGCAAATGAAGCCTTGAGGAGTTTGAGACTAAGTCCAAACTGTTTCCATGGAAACATAAGACAATTAAATTTAGAAATATTTCAAAAGGCAGCAGTTAAGCTGATGAGCAGTGCATGTGCAAAGTTTAATTAAAAAATGTTGAAAAATCTTCAAGTTATGGTTCAAACCCTGCCCTTGTTTAAGACTAACTCGAAAAAATTATTGTTTCCACAGAAACATGCGAAAATAGAATTTAGAAAAAATTCAACATAGCAAAAGGCACCGGTTAAGCTGTTGACCAATGCATATGCCAGGTTTCATTGAAATGTGTCGCACAGTTTTCAAGTAATCTGTATCCAACTCTCTACCTGTTAATTAACCTGTCTGTAATCTACCACCTACCTGCAGGTCGGTGACGAGAGGCAGCAGTTTACTGAAGAACCTCTCAGATGCCTTCTGGTAGGGGGGATAGTTGGAGCGCACCCTCATGTTGGGATCTGCCAGGAGCCAGCTTCACAAGGAACAAGCAATAAGTTAGAGATAATTATATATCTAATCTCTGTCAGGTAATGACACTTTAACTGTCTTGACAATTACCTGTCAGTCCCTGAAGTACCAACAATGACAGTTACCTGTCAGTCCCCCGAAGTTCCAACAATGACAGTTACCTGGGCAGTCCCCCGAAGTCCCAACAAGGGCAGTTACCTGTCAGTCCCCCGAAGTTCCAACAATGACAGTTACCTGTCAGTCCCTGAAGTACCAACAATGACATTTCCCTTGGCAGTCCCCCGAAGTTCCAACAATGACAGTTACCTGGGCAGTCCCCCGAAGTCCCAACAATGACAGTTACCTGTCAGTCCCTGAAGTACCAACAATGACATTTCCCTTGGCAGTCCCCCGAAGTTCCAACAATGACAGTTACCTGGGCAGTCCCCCGAAGTCCCAACAAGGGCAGCTACCTGTCAGTTCCTGACGTCCTAACAATGACAGTTACCTGTCAGTCCCTGAAGTACCAACAATGACAATTCCCTTGGCAGTCCCCCGAAGTCCCAACAATGACAGTTACCTGGGCAGTCCCCCGAAGTCCCAACAATGACAGTTACCTGGGCAGTCCCCCGAAGTCCCAACAAGGGCAGCTACCTGTCAGTTCCTGACGTCCTAACAATGACAGTTACCTGTCAGTCCCTGAAGTACCAACAATGACAATTCCCTTGGCAGTCCCCCGAAGTCCAAACAATGACAGTAACCTGGGCAGTCCCCCGAAGTCCCAACAATGACAGTTACCTGTCAGTCCCTGAAGTACCAACAATGACATTTCCCTTGGCAGTCCCCCGAAGTCCCAACAATGACAGTTACCTGGGCAGTCCCCCGAAGTTCCAACAATGACAGTTACCTGGGCAGTCCCCCGAAGTCCCAACAAGGGCAGCTACCTGTCAGTTCCTGACGTCCTAACAATGACAGTTACCTGTCAGTCCCTGAAGTACCAACAATGACAATTCCCTTGGCAGTCCCCCGAAGTCCCAACAATGACAGTTACCTGTCAGTCCCTGAAGTTCCAACAATGACAGTTACCTGGGCAGTCCCCCGAAGTCCCAACAAGGGCAGCTACCTGTCAGTTCCTGACGTCCTAACAATGACAGTTACCTGTCAGTCCCTGAAGTACCAACAATGACAATTCCCTTGGCAGTCCCCCGAAGTCCAAACAATGACAGTAACCTGGGCAGTCCCCCGAAGTCCCAACAAGGGCAGCTACCTGTCAGTCCCTGAAGTACTAACAATGACAGTTACCTGGGCAGTCCCCCGAAGTTCCAACAATGACAGTTACCTGTCAGTCCCTGAAGTACCAACAATGACATTTCCCTTGGCAGTCCCCCGAAGTCCCAACAATGACAGTTACCTGGGCAGTCCCCCGAAGTTCCAACAATGACAGTTACCTGGGCAGTCCCCCGAAGTCCCAACAAGGGCAGCTACCTGTCAGTTCCTGACGTCCTAACAATGACAGTTACCTGTCAGTCCCTGAAGTACCAACAATGACAATTCCCTTGGCAGTCCCCCGAAGTCCCAACAATGACAGTTACCTGTCAGTCCCTGAAGTTCCAACAATGACAGTTACCTGGGCAGTCCCCCGAAGTCCCAACAAGGGCAGCTACCTGTCAGTTCCTGACGTCCTAACAATGACAGTTACCTGTCAGTCCCTGAAGTACCAACAATGACAATTCCCTTGGCAGTCCCCCGAAGTCCAAACAATGACAGTAACCTGGGCAGTCCCCCGAAGTCCCAACAAGGGCAGCTACCTGTCAGTCCCTGAAGTACTAACAATGACAGTTACCTGGGCAGTCCCCCGAAGTTCCAACAATGACAGTTACCTGTCAGTCCCTGAAGTACCAACAATGACATTTCCCTTGGCAGTCCCCCGAAGTTCCAACAATGACAGTTACCTGGGCAGTGCCCCGAAGTCCCAACAAGGGCAGCTACCTGTCAGTCCCTGAAGTACTAACAATGACAGTTACCTGGGCAGTCCCCCGAAGTTCCAACAATGACAGTTACCTGGGCAGTCCCCCGAAGTTCCAACAATGACAGTTACCTGTCAGTCCCTGAAGTACTAACAATGACAGTTACCTGGGCAGTCCCCCGAAGTTCCAACAATGACATTTACCTGGGCAGTCCCCCGAAGTTCCAACAATGAAAGTTACCTGGGCAGTCCCCCGAAGTCCCAACAATGACAGTTACCTGGGCAGTCCCCCGAAGTACCAACAATGACAGTTACCTGGGCAGTCCCCCGAAGTCCCAACAATGACAGTTACCTGGGCAGTCCCCCGAAGTCCCACTCGGAACATATAAAGGGTCCCGGCCGGAAGATGACATGGAGCCCCACCTCATGGGCCAGCTGGATGTACTTCCTGGAATAAACAAAGGCAAAAAGTCAGACAAGCAAACTGTCTTAAATTTGAGTCAGTGAGTCTGTTAGTGTGGAGTGAGTGAGTGAGTGAGTGAGTGAGTGAGTCGGTGAGTCTGTTTGTGAGGATCCCGTGAGTCAGTGAGTGAGAGAGTGAGTCGGTGAGTCTGTTTGTGAGGATCCCGTGAGTCAGTGAGTGAGAGAGTGAGTGAGTCTGTTTGTGAGGATCCCGTGAGTCAGTGAGTGAGAGAGTGAGTGAGTCGGTGAGTCTGTTTGTGAGGATCCCGTGAGTCAGTGAGTGAGAGAGTGAGTGAGTCTGTTTGTGAGGATCCCGTGAGTCAATGAGTGAGTGAGTGAGTCGGTGAGTCTGTTTGTGAGGATCCCGTGAGTCAGTGAGTGAGAGAGTGAGTCGGTGAGTCTGTTTGTGAGGATCCCGTGAGTCAGTGAGTGAGAGAGTGAGTGAGTCTGTTTGTGAGGATCCCGTGAGTCAATGAGTGAGAGAGTGAGTCGGTGAGTCTGTTTGTGAGGATCCCGTGAGTCAATGAGTGAGAGAGTGAGTGAGTCTGTTTGTGAGGATCCCGTGAGTCAGTGAGTGAGTGAGAGAGTCGGTGAGTCTGTTTGTGAGGATCCCATGAGTCAGTGAGTGAGAGAGTCGGTGAGTCTGTTTGTGAGGATCCCGTGAGTCAGTGAGTGAGTGAGAGAGTCGGTGAGTCTGTTTGTGAGGATCCCGTGAGTCAGTGAGGGAGAGAGTCGGTGAGTCTGTTTGTGAGGATCCCATGAGTCAGTGAGGGAGTGAGTCGGTGAGTCTGTTTGTGAGGATCCCGTGAGTCAGTGAGTGAGTGAGAGAGTGAGTCGGTGAGTCTGCTTGTGAGGATCCCGTGAGTCAGTGAGTGAGGGAGTGAGTCGGTGAGTCTGCTTGTGAGGATCCCGTGAGTCAGTGAGTGAGAGAGTGAGTCGGTGAGTCTGTTTGTGAGGATCCCGTGAGTCAGTGAGTGAGAGAGTGAGTCGGTGAGTCTGTTTGTGAGGATCCCGTGAGTCAGTGAGTCAGTGAGAGAGTGAGTCGGTGAGTCTGTTTGTGAGGATCACGTGAGTCAGTGAGTGAGGAAGTCAGAGAGTCAGTAAGGAGCCTGTGAGTCAGTGGGAGGTCTGAAAGCTCTCATCTTTCCGGTTCTGTGACGTCACTTCCAGTCTATCATACTTCAGCTTATGACGCAACCTTCCAGTTTCCCTTTAAAATGAAGTCGTTCTGAAATCTGGAATATGGCTAAAAATGGCTTAAAACACTATTCACTCACTCACTCACTCACTCACTCACTCTGAATACTGATATCACTTCTGGTCAGAAATGCTTAGCTTGCAATATGTTCAAACTTTCAGAAGTTTATTTACCCTAAAAAGAAAACATTGGGAGTTAAGAAAGTATCAACCAAATTTCTCAGCACACCACTACCAGAAACGGCTTTGTTGACTTTTGGCACTTCACGTTGAGCGGCATGAAGTCCAATATTTTTTTTATAATTTTATCCGTTTTCACATTTGAGCATATTTTTTGGTTACCTGATAAAAAAAGTACTCAAATTCCTTCATTTCTAAAAATTAGCAACTTTCGGTATGATTAATGATAAACAAAAACAATCTGAATCCTAACATCATGGTTTGGATGAAAGTTGTATGATCATGGCAACGACGGTAAACAAACAACTCCACGTGCATCGTGATCATGTAATACAATTACAATTCATTTATACATCTGAATGAATTTTCTGGAAATTCTTTCACGGGTGTATAAATCTTTGTAAAAACTAAATCATTTTTATCGAGTTTGCAAATGATTTCGTCTGAGAAACTTTTGTACATTGACATGCTGTTGACAAGCATAAGTGACACTTGTGATTTGTTCAGTTGAACAAAGTCAACAAATACTGCGAATAATTAAAAATATTGGATGATACGCAAAATCTGAACTGATATACGTTTAACAGCAAAATAATTCAGATTACAACAAGCATGAAATACTCATATCCCCCGCCAATATGACTAACTATAGATGGTCCTGGGTTCTACTTCACCAAATCAGAACCAGTTGGGACAGTGCGGTTTTCGTAGGAGCCTTCAGTGCAGATCGAGAGATATCTGCAGGCTGTGATTGGAGGATATTGTTAAGATTTGTATGTCTTTTAAATGTACATCCATCCAGTTATTAAAACAGACCATGTTTTTCTATATTTAGTACTATCTTTTTCAACATGATGACTTATGTTTGATGTGACCACAGCTATTTTCAAGTAGGTGACATTTGGTGCGAAACTGGGGACAGTGTGTTTAGCTTCCTGTACTCGGAAAAGGAGCTGGCTAAGCTAGTCATTTGTTTTGTTTTTATTGCTGCTCTAAGGCCAAACTCTGCACACACGTACAGGTAATAGCTGTTGAATGCTTGGTTATTTAAAAAAAAAATATAACGTTACTATAGATGTCTATGGGAAAACATTTGGTTGTGCGTAACCTGTAGCGTGAAGACAGTCCAGATTGGCACAACTCATATTGATTGTTTCATTTTGACAGGAATATGACATCATGTTGCTGAAGAGGGGGGCAGTTAAAATGGTAAACCTTAAGTTAATTGTAGTGTTTTGATAGGAAAGTGACAATAAATTTACTTTTTGATACAAAAAGTAATGTGCATTCTTTAAACATATACAAAATTACCTGGGTACGAAAGACCCATGAAGATCCGGGGTAGAATAGGTCGCTGTAAAAGGCGACTATGCTTGTTGTAAGAGGCGACTAACGGGCTCGGTGACTTGGTTGATGCATGTCATCGATCCCAATTGCGTGGATCGATGCTCATGACACCAATCACTGGATTGTCTGGTCCAGACTCGATTATTTACAGACTGCTGTCATATAGCTGGAATATTGCTGAGTGCGGCGTTAAACAACAAACCAACCAACCAACTAAAGCACATACTGGTTTGGGTACAAACTCACAAGACATTTTAGGTACAAAAGTCACATTTTAACTGGATTTAGTGGAACAAAGGGATAAAAAACATTTTACATTTTAAAACGATTATTTGTTTATGTTAACAAACGTAGGTACGCGGCTCATGTTTTGTCCTAGAAACAAAATTCTGAAAAATATTGACACCTCAGAAATGAGGGTTTTTAAAGTTATAATTCTATCTAAATTGTCAGGCAGTTTGATGCTGGTCTATCAAAGAAAAATCCTTATGAAATTTAAAAAAATAATTTATGACACTGAAAATTACATGCACATAACCAAACAGTCATTGTCGGTATGACAAATGTGCATTTTATTGCAAATAAGACTTTTATGTAATTCTTGTTTCATGATGGCTGGGGCACTTTCATACACACTGACTGAGGAACGTGTGACACACCAGCTGATGAAAGGGTGATACTGTGATTGCATACAAGGGAAAAACAGGTTTGCAGGAGTACATGAATGCGAAAATAAACCACATAAGGTGACATAAAGTCAGGGGGTGTGGCTGACAGTGTCAAATACATCTGACAAAGGTAATACTTTATACAGGGACATTTCTTTTCACTCCACCCAGAAGACTGAGACATATGAAACACGATATGGACCTATACTGACTGAGACATATGAAACCCATCAAATAATCAAGGATGCCAGATCCAAGGCTGGTTGGTTGGTTGGTTTGTCGTTTAACGCCACACTCAGCAATATTCCAGCTATATGACGGCGGTCTGTAAATAATCGAGTCTGGACCAAACAATCCAGTGATTAATATCATGAGCATCGATCCACGCAATTGGGATCGATGACATGCCTCAACCAAGTCAGGGAGCCTGACCACCCGATTCCCGTTGTCGCCTCTTACGACAAGCATGGGTATCTTTCATGTACTTTCCTCCAACAGAACAGAACTTAAAGAATTGGCAATGTACCTGTATGTGCCTTATTTTTTTTTCAAACGATAACGTTCTCTAATAAACATATGGCTAACTCACCAAAATGTCATGTACTGTTACCATGGTTACAAGAAATTAATGTATCATATTCATATTACAATTATATTTTAGAATTGTTTTGTTTTGAAACGAACCACTTAATACACAAGATTAATGTCCACATGAGTTTTGTATGTATATGTTAAGGATCTTATGTACTGGGAATACTAAAATTAAGTAATGATATCAAATAGTTACCTATATTCACACAACTGATGTTCAGGTGAAAGATAGTAATTGTAGTTTGATCAGTTACACTGTACTGATGCATTGATCAATATTTAGTGTATATACACATAATCATTGTGGAAAAAATAACTGCTAAGATATAAAAAGCTGTGAACAGCTGTAAATAATTAAACATTAACAAATCTATCATCAATACGCAATCATGGCGGTCTTCATATTATTTGGAATAAATTTTAAAATGCTCCTTGAAATTGTTCTAAAATCATGCTAGAATCTATAAATGTATTATTAAAGGAAAAATCCTTAACTGTCCCAAATTTAATGTGAAACTAACACTGAAAATATGTATGTAGTATTTTATTGATATATACATCATGCAGTTGTATATACTTTTGAATGTTATTTTGAAACACATTCTGTCACGCCCATTTTCGCACACCTGTTGCGAAGGGTGATAATTGCCGATTGATGATATCTATAGATGTATTGCGTGGCACATAAGTATTATAGTGAAAACAAAATCATCAACATGTACATCACAGTTACATGAATCATTACCATCAAATGGGGATCCCTATATAAATCAACAAAAGTTCAAATAAAAGATGCCCAGAAATAGGGCTGGGATGGGTAACTCGGGTACCCGGGTCGGGTGGGTAGTGAGTGGGTACCATCAAATGGGGATCCCTATATAAATCAACAAAAGTTCAAATAAAAGATGCTCAGAAATAGGGCTGGGATGGGTAACTCGGGTACCCCGGTCGGGTGGGTACTGGGTAGGACCCGGGTAGAAACTAATAAAAAATGACCTAACTA